ACTCATAGCGACGTATACAACGCGTGTAAAATACATTGTTTATTTACATGGAATTCGACCACCGCGCTTTAAGCGCATCAACCAGAATTAGTACCCGCATTGGTTTTTGGTACCTTCTGTCGCTAAATGTAACTCCGGCTGATAATGTCTATGGACATTTCCTTTGGGTTCGGAGAGTGCCGTTTTTATTTTTACTACTAGTACATAAAACCCTTTTTTACATACTGGAAATCAAAGTGACTGGTATACTGAAAAAATTCTGGACACGTTCTTTCCGAAAATCTTCAGAGTTTCAGCACGTGACCAAATTCTGCGTTATTTCAAGCCATAGTTACTGTATCAAATCAATAATTTTGTGGTAAATAGGCTTTCGGGCAGGGCCGACAGGAACACATGTTTTGCACGCATGCTGGGACACTCGGGTATACGCCGTTGTTGAAATTGGATCAGTTCGAGCACGTTGTGTTTTACAAATTTATTTGGAGGTAAATCCCGTTCCTTCAACAAATTCTCTTGAGCCCAGTGATTTAGTACCCCTGTCTGTTTATTTATTGCATATTTCACCCCTAAATGCAGAAATCGCGTAAACTGTGTGGGCTCAATTTTTCTATAAATCGAACCCTTTTTATAGCCAGAGGGCGCTGCGCACAACGATTTTGTTTTGCTTTCAATGTTGCGTAATTTCACCAGTATATTGCATCCCGACGACTCAGTAAATGTTGAAGAGAATAGATGTTTGTATGAATAATCGCTAAGATGTCATGTCAAGTCAAACTTGTCCTCAAAGCACATGGTAACAAAAGAAGCCAATATTAGAGTGACTGCAATACATATTTATTCGGACACACATCGTTCACATTGACCTCAGTGGTTCAAGTTGTAACAGTTTGGCGGCTTAGACTCCCGTGGTAGAAGTTGGATTTTTCACCAGACTAGGGTAACTGCATGACAACCGCTGGAAGTCCCGTATGCTCATCATTTTTCTTAGATATTTCCAGAAATCCGTACTTCGCGTAAAAATTCCTGGCCAGCATATTGACTTCAAATACTTCAAGAATAAGTGGTGACCCGTGTTGATTCCTAACATGGTCGAGTAGTCTTGTTCCGATGCCTTGGCGCTGACACGCCGTGGAAACAAACAGTGCTCCGAGATAGCCATCGACCATCGAGATGAAACCAGCGATACTACCATGTTTCTCAGCGACATAACTCTTCCCCATTGGCAGGTATTGGTCACGCATCGAAGGCATGACTTTGGTTAGCATGTCGTGGGTCATTGGCCCAGTCTGTAATGACGAAGAGTACCAAATTTCTAAAACGGCTTCCATGTCGGTGTTGGGATCAAAGTCTCTGATTTGGACTGCGGCCATCTTGGCGTTAGAAAAGCTCCATGTACTATGAATGAGATCAATATTAAAGATATTGGCTAATGCATGTACTGATAAGCCAAAAGTTTCGCGTGACCTTTGAGTAGAGTTACGAATACAGTGCATATCACACAAGCCATATACTTTTTAGATGATAACACATATTCGACAGCCAAAGTCCGTATTTTCGTACCTCCCTTCGCTTCATTGAGGGAACTGTAAATCCGGAATTACCATTTGGATGACGGTAACAAAAAGAGACGGGTTTCCATATGCACTAGACTAATCCTCAGACTAGTCTGAGACAAATTATAGACATTGTAATTATGAACTCTGACATGTTATGGTCGACCCGTGCAATTTCGAATTTACACTGTGTGGTATATTAAAGTTTTATAATTTTGCGTTACGAGTGACTCAACAAGTATACGACGGGAGAGCCCCATCACCCCCCGCGATAGATACACCCTTTATAGTTAAAGGGCGGTGATCGTCGCGCCGCGCATGTGCGACATTTGTGTTGATAAACATTAATTTCCCCGCCAGTGACTCCTTCGATTACTTCCAATCACCAAAGAAATTACATGAGTTAAAGGCTTAGTAACGTCTCACTTTGTACTCGTACGTCTGCGCAACAGTCGAAGTAGCTATCTTTCTTCATATGAGTCCCATATCTCGCGCATGCGTGGCGTGACGACCACCGCCCTTTAAGGGGTGGGAAAAATAAACAATAGTGAATAACCCGCACTAGACGCTTGAAAGCATCTCGTAAATGAGGGCAGTATAATTTGAAGACATTACCGACACGAATCGTCGGATACGGACGGGCAATCAATTGGCATACCAAGTTTACTCTTCCATGTTATGAGGTGGAATACACGATTATGGATTATGTTCTGATTTCACATTTAATCATACCACAACACCCCCCCCCCAACAAAGGGATATTACTTTCTTGCCAGTGATTATTACCCTTATTATATTTACTACCTTCTACTAAAATATTATTTTGATATTTAGAGTAGTAACAAATTCCCACTTCCCGTACAGTTGGACTTAAAATATACAACGAATATTCAATTTTTGGTATATGTTTGTTCTTGGATATTTCAGCTTTGTGGTCCTGTACTTCGTTTAGTAATTCGGACTTCCCAAATTGCGTAAAACGGATATTTTCATTAAATCATTTGCTGAGGGATGGCCGATTAGGTATGTACACTCTAACTTGCAGCACATGGACCTAATGCTCTTCGGCAAGCAAAGAAACATGAGTTTACGTTCGAGGTCTTCACTTGTGTGTGTCATAATAAAATATTCGTCTTCGGTCTTCGAATGCCTACGACTATTGTAGGTCAAAGGTCAATCATTTCTCTGTCTAGGTATTCCAACAATTTACATAATTTGTGAATGACTCCGAGTTATTTATTTAAATATTCCTGTCTTTGAGTTGAGCTTAGCGATATTGTGCATTGATATGTATACAACGTGCTGAGTGTCTCAAGCGGACATCCGGGCATTTTCACTGCCTGGCAACCATCACGGGGAAAACAAACGCCGAAAACTCTCAGAAAACTGTACTTTGGTATAGTTGCTGAGACTTCCCTGAACAGTGCAACAAGATTACCCCTACATGTTCAGCATATATAAATTTGGTTGCTCAGAATTACGTAACTTCAAAATTGAGTTTGTGCCATTTTCTCGTTTTGAGCACTTCGACCGGCGTTCTATAGCAGCATGTACAGAGGCCAATGTAGAACGTTCTGTGACGTAGCTTCACCCCAGAGAATAACCAGTATATGACAGATAGTTGGGGGTAAAATACACAAATCAAAATATTAAACAAATATGTCAACTGCAGTTTTAAAAAAAACAGTAGTGCAGTAGTGCATATTCTACGTTTGTAACATCTTTATACAAATATTTTAAATTTGTGTTTATTTCAAAAATAGTGAAATTATGTGCACCAGCATTTTGGCCTGGGAAAGATAAATTATTGGGTTAAAAGTCGAGGTGTAACGCGACTGGTGATCTAATTAAAGATGGTGGAATAAAAAGACTGTAATTTCAATTATGTAGCGTAGTTATAAATAGACACAATCACATACGTTGAGGGCGGGCTATTGATTCTGCTTGGGGCGTATGTTACAATCAGTAAAAAACTAAATTAGCATAAATATAACCTTGATAAGGGAAGATACTGATCTGTATACCAGTATCTTATGTCTTGGAGAACGATACTGAGTAAACGAGAATTCTGCTCAAGACACATTATAAAATTAGTTTACCCCTTAATACAGTTTTTGGTTAATTCTCTGCATTTGTCCATGAGATTTGTCATGCTCTTCCCGGAGCAGGAAACAAAATTCACTAAATTTCCTGTATTTGAAATGCGGAAAATGAAGGGATGTGCATGCGTGGTTTTTGTAGCTTTTACAGGAAATTATTTATAAATGCCCCCTGTCTGTGTATCGATTACATTGGCAGACGTTACTCATACACATCGCAATGGAATTAATATACACAGTATATTATGTGAAGGAGTGGCATTGTGACTGATGAAGACATTGACCGAATGTATGCGGCTTGTGGAGCACTTAATGAGAAGGGAACACATGGAGATGACACCGGTAAAGAATTGTTTGACCTCAAATAAATACAAATTAGTTGTCTAGAGGTATTGGAAAAGTCTATGTGACATATTTTTATCTAATAAACAGTTCTTTTTATTCGACCGATTACAGTGAACAAGATTCTTTAAAAATAGTATGTACATAGAATATGAAAATGAGAACGAGGATGAGAACTCAGTCCACGCACGTAGGCACAGGGGAATTACTAATAGAGTTAGCAGATAATAAAATATTCATAATTTTAATAAACAAATGTACTTACTATGTAAATTATGATAGGATAAAATAATACAGAATTTTATTAATTGCAATACTATAAGTGTGCCGCAAATATCAGTAAATAATTTTGTATTTTTTTCTTCATTCAAC